ATTTGTGAAAAAAATCTGCCCCAAAAAATTCAAAGTCCCAAGTTCTGCCAGTTATGACTGATTTATTTGTTGTATGATATATAACAAAATAGAGCATAATAACATACATACTCATTATTATTGGTGTTATGTACTACTCAGCAATGCTATAAAGGCACCAGCTGCATATCCACTTTGTGGATACTTCTAACTACTATTCTTCTTTGTGTGTCGGACAGGTGCTTGCATCTCTGTATTACTGCATTATCCCTCAGTTCCAGTTAATAGGAGCATCTTTCTCTTTATCAACAAAACTTTTTTTTTTAATTTGTTTAAAATCCATTTCTGAAAATATTGGGATGAAACTTTCACAATGCTGAAGCCAATAAGTTGGAGATTTGTTTAACATTTAACATTAATTTTCACATAATTCAAATATTTTTTTGCTCAGCCCCATCTTATACCCCCCATTTACAGTCCAGGCTGTAGCAGTGTAAGGGTTAATGTAGAAAAATGCATTTTTGAGGTTTCCGAGATCAACTTCTTGGGACACCAAGTGTCCTCCACAGGTATTCTGCCACTGGAGAAGAGTGAGGCTATCCAAGATTTTCCAACATCCACCACAACTTAGAAGCTTCAAGAATTCCTGGGTGTGGCTAATTTGTACCATAGGTTTATCCCACACTGTTCTGACATCCTGAAACCTTTATATGACCTCCTGTGTGGGTATAAGCAAGGGTCCAAAGTACCCCTGCCATGGTCACTAGAGGCAGAGGTGGCGTTCACCAATCTTAAGCAGGAGCTAGCTCAGCTCAGCTCAATCTCCTCACCCATCCAGTATTCGATCTGCCAACTAGCCTCTCAACGGATGCCTCCAACACTACTATAGGAGCGGTGTTCCATCAATTTATCGATGACACCTGGCGACTCCATTGCTTTCTTTTCAGCAAGCTTAACGGCAGCAGATGCAAAATACAGCACATTTGACAGGGAACTCCTTGCTATATATATGCAACCATTCAATACTACAGGCATTTTTCGAGGGACGTGACTTCCACGTCCTCACCGACCTCAAACAAGGGCTGCTGCCCTAGCACCCTAGCAGCAAAGATAGATTACCACTCGCTGCGAGTCACTCGACATTTGAGCTATATATCCCAGTTCACGACTGACATCAGGCACGTGACGGGGACTGCGAATGTGATCGCCGATGCCCCATCTCGACCTGACTTGTGTGCACTTTTTCCCAAGATGACCCACATCGACTATGCCGAAATTTCTAGAGCTCAGTGACAAGACCTGGAACTCCTACAATTACGCACCTCTTCCTCAGCACTTTGGCTCGTCGATATATCTGTAGTGCCTAATTCTGAGGATAATATCACATGTGACATGTCTCTCATTGGTGTTCTACGGCCACATTCCAAAGACTCATCGGCAGAGGATCTTCATGGCTCTCCATTCCTTAGCTTACCAGGGCATCCGAACTACACTATGCCTCCTGACCAAATGTATGGTATGGCCAGGAATTAACACGGCTGTTCGAAGTTGGGCCCGCAACTGCCTCCAGTGTCAGCAATCAAAGATATGTCGAGAGACATAGATGCCTCTTCAGAATTTTCCATTACCACTGACCAGATTTGAAGTACAGTACAGTAGTGCATGTGGATATTGTCGGTCCAGTTCCTTGATCAGAGAGATGTTCATAACTAAAACGTATGTTGATCACTTCTCCAGATGGCCTGAGACAGTTCCTGTTGTGGAAATAACAGCCGAGTTGGTAGTTCAGGCTTTCCTTCATGGGTGAATCTCCCGTATTGGAGCCTCTGAAACAATTGTCATGGACAAGGGTCGATAATTTGAATCACACTTGTGGAGGCAACTCATGTGGTTCCTTGGTACCACACAAAACCAAACTATGGCCTGCCATCCTCAGGCTAACGGGATGGTTGAATGGTTTCACCGCCAACTGAAGGCGGCTCTAAGGGCACAATCAGACCCGACTTCATGGATCGACAACCTTCCTTTGGTACTCCTCGGCATCCGTTCGGCAACTAAAGAGGACAGCGAGTTCTCAGCAGCTGACCTTGTTTATGGTTCTGAACTCTGCCTTCCTGGTGATTTGATCACTCCAATACCATACAATGAGCTGATGGACATGTCGGCCTTCATGGAGTGGCTTCGGAGGACGATGTCGCAGATTCGCCCTACACTCTCCCTACGTAAGGAACCACAAGACCAGAGGCTCTCGCACCCTCCTTGGGTTTGTACAGTTGTAGAATATATATGTGTGGATCAGAGACTTGTGTTTACTTAACCTTTGTCTGGTGGATATGAAGGCACTAAAAGTTAAATGTGTGGAACTTTGCTAGTCTAAAAAATATTAGCCTCATACACAATGACACATTATATTTTTATATGAACCAAAAGGTGTTCCTGCTGTCATTACACTATATGCACACATTACAATTCACTATCAAGATTTATATGCACCATAACAAACTAATAAGCAGTTCTGGTGAGTACAGTGATGAAATCAAAACACAGCATGAAGCCACATGATACAAGCAGATGATACCAGCAGCCATGATGCAAGACAGTGCCTCCAATATTCTTCACATTACCCTATTACCCTATGACCAGCTACAAAACTGCTGTTATTATTACTTCATTCCTATCACAAAAATCCAGAATATGAATCCATTTCCACAAGGTTATAATGTGAAGGAACATGAAGTCATTTTGTGTGTAAATGCAGGAAACAGTGGCTGGTTCCTTTCTCTCTCTCTACCTTGTGCTGTGAATATTGTAACATTGTATTCACTGATATCTGAACAGTGTACATAGTCTTTAGCACAGTCAGGATCATCTATAACACTATCAATGCAAAATAATTAGTTACCTATTTTATTCATTAAGTGGTGGTGTGGCCCCTATCTGCATAGTGGTGCTGTGAGCTGTTGCTGCTGCATGCACCAGCCTTGGTCACACTCTTAGTACTGAGATTCTTACAGCCAGTATGGATGCTGATGATTTTTTTTCAAGATGGCATCTGTTCACTGAAATCCTGAAGAACAGGATGTGAGCCCCATGTAGCTGTAGGAGTTTTGAATTGCTCCCTGTACCTAATAACACTAAGGCGCTCTGCACACCCTTGATTGGGCGCCTTAAGGCACTGCTCAGTGCAGCGGTTAAACTTCATCACTATGGAACCCGGAGCCTGGCTCCGAACTATATCTGATAATTTCTGATTTGAAATTTCCTTGATGTAATAGAACCTATAGGCATGACACCAGAAATAAATCTTTGATATTCCTGGAGTCAGATTAAACTCTTGCAAACACTCCATGAATATAAAAGAACCATAATGGCTTGGCACTTTCCCCTGATAATTCCCTTCCTCCCCCCTCCCTATTACTGGAACTCGTATATGGAACTAGTGTGCGGAACTCGCTCCCTAATGATTTAAAAAGTTGTTCAACCTGTACTTTATGCAAATTTCATCCACATAGTTTCCCATCTTGAGCTGCTAACTTTCACTGTATCTTTTGCTTCACACTCACCCAATTTAGTACTGAAGATATGCAATTTCATCACTATAATCTGTTTCTATCAATTTATAATGTAGTTATGTTTAATTAAAATTCTGTTATAATGTACCTGTTATTACATGTATTGTAAACCTAAGGCTTAGTGACTTTGCAAGAATGTAAGAATCACCAGTGTGTGTACTCTCACAACTCTATATGCTTTTGTATATATAAATAAATAAATAAAGTAAATAATCTACAAATGGTAGCAGCTGCTAGATTTCCATCTCTCACAGTAGCTGTAGGGTTCTGAAGCACAGTGAATGGCAGCTTCTCATGACTGCTGGGCAATACAGCAACTTGCATGGAGAGCTACTTGACTCGTATGATTCAATCTATATTCAAACGGTGCCACAAAAATTATTTAACCTTGATATGATGATGCACCCTATAAATGCTGTAAATTTGTTGGAAGTCCTTTTGTAGTTCACTATTACTTATTCCTTTTTTCCATCCCATCCCAAATCCTTATCCTCACCTCTTCCAAGTGCTATATAGTCATAATGGCTTGGCACTTTCCCCTGACAATTCCCTCCCTCCCCTCCTTATTTCTTACTGTCACTTAAGGGTTAAATAAATTTTAACAAATGTTTAATGTCATTATTCTGATATAACACACACATGACTGCACGCATTATATTTGGTGTTGTAATGAAGGAAACCACCTACAGCAATTAGCTCTCTCCCATAAACTACTGTATTATTCTATTACTCTGGTTTAGCTCTTTCTTCTTTATAAGGGCACTTTCAGTGATTCATTTGACTCAAACCATGTACTGTATACTAAGGAATATGCATTTGCAATTTTGACTTTAAATGTAAAATTATAACATTATTATCCCTACATTAGATTTACTGTACATGGAAAGTTGCCTCAGAGACTCCAGTGTTTAAATTTTTAATTTGATATTCTTTATATAATAATTATACCATATTAATTTTCTAATTTTTCTTAAATATATATTTTGGCAAGTACTGTACATAAAATTTGACCAAAGAAAATATTTTGACATACCCTCTGTGTTAAAATGGTTGCATGATGCAATATTAGAGACAATTTATTATACAGATGCAGTACTGTACTGCATTATTAATAAACATTACTAGTATTAAGAAAATTAGTATGAATCATGAGGAGGATTTGAACCCTTACAAATCTTGAACTTGATACAGTACTCCCAAGCTTGGTGCTTAATAATTATATTATTAAATTGATTAAGTTTTATTGCATAGAAAATATCTTAGATTAGGGGCTTTGAGCATTAAGGTGTACAATACGGTGTTCTCGTATACTGTACAGTTGAAGATTTGCAACATGACAGATGGTTACCAAGTTTTGTCTTTGTATGTCTACCAATACTATGTCTTTGTATATCCTGTATAGTACTGTACAGCATTTTTATATTGTTAATGTATATTTTCTACTAACAGGTAGTCTTGGCAATGAAGCAGTTATGGTAACCAAAGATGATGATGTATACGCCCTTGGGTTCAATAGCTCTGGTTGTCTTGGTGTTGGAGACCAGAATAGCACAATGGAACCACGTAAAATTGAACCTTTGTGTCAGAAGAAGGTTAAAGGTAGGAATTAGAAAATGCTTTATCATTTCACAATTACTTTATCACTTTATTTATTTCATAATTAAGTACTGTATAACAAATAGTTTAGGGGGAACCCCTTGTGGCTCCCCTTGTGGTGCCCTGAAGCTATGCACTGAGATGGTTTCCATTTACTGGGTCACATCAGCTGTGTAGATCTATAAGCCTACCAGGAACCAGAACCTGGCCTTTTCCCTCAGAGGCACAGGGAGCACACACATTTCTCCACTTCACTGGAGAAGCCAACCAGAAAGTCAGTGAGTCAAAACAAACTACTACTGGATTCAAGAGAGACTGAAGCCTTGAAACCTGCCTAATGAACTCTCCTAACTACATATATAACAAATGTTCAAATTTTCTCAAAACTAGAGCGAGCTCATTCACCCTACATCCCCCATTCATTGGGGGAGGTAGCTGCCTGGGGTCTGAGCTGTCAGTTCTGTTACTGATGTAGTTGTCCCAGGGTCACTCCTCAGTCTAGCTAAATGATATGGTGTTTACAGTGTAGCATAAGCCTGTCTTTGAGAGTGCTTGGAGCTGCATGTGCTCAGGATGACCTTCCCTGTCTGCTCTCTAGCGCTGCTCTTGCATTGCCAGAGTTATCTTCTCTGGGATGTTTGGGAGTCACTCCTTCAGATGTCTACCTTGATTTCTATGGTAAAATGGAGTTAATGAAGGTCTCACCTGTACTTGTTCTCAAGATGGCAGTATGAAACAAGCATCAAGCAACCCAAGTATGGGGATTACTTGGTGTTTGTTCCCCTTTTTTTTGTCCCTCCATTGTCTTTCTTCTTTCTCTGTTTGGGTTTTACTTTCCTTTGTCTTCCTCATTTCTTGACTGGCATCTTATGCTTTGTACGGTTGCCTCTTATTGTTTGGCATTAGCAGAGCCATTATATTTTGTGTTCAGCATCAATACTACGTTGGTGCCGTTCTGTACGTTGTCTCATGCTTTGTTTCACCTCCAGCCTGCTCATGCTCTGCCTGTACCATCTTGTTCTCTTGTCAATATTCTCTGTTTTTTTACTCCTCTCAGAGCCCGTGTTCCCCCTAGGTCTGGGACTTTTTCTGTCGGCTCTTGCCTCTGGTATTTGGATTGAGGAGCTTCATGCTCATTTCTGGAGATGAGGATTCTTCTCCTTTGGCCCTGGTGGGAATTTTGTTTGTTTGCAGCATTCTCCTTCATTTTTGGTGAAGAATGAGTCTGTGAGCCTCTGGGGAAAGCCTTTGGTTATTGATGCTTGGTTGCCTCAGCTGGAAGTAGGTGCATCATTTGTTGTCTAGTGGCAACCTCTACCTTTATGCCACCGATTCTGCCTCGGATGCTTTGTTGGGTAATCTTGTCTCCTTGGTCCCCTGTTCCAAGGCTCTCATATCATTGGTTATCTGCAGTACCACAGTTATCCAAGTAAGTGGGTTTACAGATCCAATGAAACATAGCTGATTTAATGGGCCATGGGGATGAAGGGTAGGGAGCGGTAGTTGGTGGTAATGAAGTCAAGCTAATTTTCAATGTCACTCATTTGTTTACATAGTTTTGGAAGTTAATTTGGCAAATTTTTGAGGCCTCATTTGTTATGAACCCAATCATGATCTGTATTCATGCATTGCCTTTCTGGATGCTTTCCCAGAAAGGTAGCAGCATCACCTGCCCTCTGCTCCTTTGTAAGGGGGGAAGGGGTGGAGGGTGCCAGTCTTTTCTGGGGGGAGCCCCGTCGGCTCCCCGGAGCTTTACCGGCTGATATGCTAATGTCAGACTTTGGCATCAGTCATGTGTATGGAGTTCTAGGGCCTACCGGGGACCACGAGCCAGAACCTGGCCCCCTCAGAGAGGCAAGGGGAGCAATGGCCTATAGAAACCCCCGTGTGGTTGGAAGCATTCTATGTCTGCCATCGACCGGGTCAAGCATCCAGAAAGGTAAGCATTCCAAAACAAACCCCTATTCTGGTGAAAATTGCTACCTAAGCCGAACTAGTGAATAGAACTCTTCAACAGAAAACAAGGAAACTAGTATGACGTCATACGTCACCGCGCCGCTGTCTGCGCAGCTCCCCCCTCCCCGGGAGGGGGAAGGGGGAGCCCCAGACCTCCCACGCCGGCTATCCACCCATCAGTTCTTCGGCTGATGCTATAGGCAATGGTTATGTGCTCCGGCTCCAGTGGTTGTTTCAGCACTGTACCTAGAGTGTGGTGTCTGTTTTCTAGGTGGTGCGTGAGCCGGGAGTGATTCTTCAGTACTCGGGCTGCATGCGCCTAGGGTTCCCTTCCCTAGGTGCCCTGTAAGTACTGCCCTTGGGGCTTGGGGCCACCTTCCACAAGTTCCTTGGGTCCTGCCCCTGCTTGGCCGTTTACTGCTTGGTTTTCGGCCGCTCTTTGTGTGCTCGGGTGTTCTGTCTCCCTTGTTCGCCTTAGAGTAAGGGGCAGTGTTTGCACTGGTGGGGCGCGGGGTACTGTGCAGCTTGTCTTTACCAATCATAGCGGCCGGCTCTGTTCCGCTTGGGTACGCTGTCCTCTTGCGGGGTTTTCTTTTTCTTTTGTTTATATACCTGGTGGGGGGGTCTGCCTTCGTTCTTGCCCCTTGTGTCCCTTGTGTTCTGAGTATTTCTGGTGGTACCCCCTGCTAGGTCCCCGTGAGTGTACACGTCCCGGGGGTTCAGCTCTTAGAAAGTTGTTTGGTAGCTTGGGTGCCGGTTAGCAGTACCCTGCCTGGGATTACCTGAGCGCGAGTCCTCTTAAAGTAAACGCTCGGGACCCTGGGAAACCCCTGGGGGCGCGCGGGTCCGATGGATGTGACCCCAGAGCCCCCCCTCGCTTCCAGCGAGTTTGAGGGTTGCTCTCACCTTTTGTCTCTGGGTGACTCTCTGTTTTGCCTCCGTCTGCTGCCTGTGGGGTCGGTGACACCTTCGACCCGGTGTCCTGCGAGTTTGGTTGCTCGTTGTGGCTCGGTTACCCAGTTGTGCTAACAAAGCGGGTGCGGGCAGCAGGGGCGTTGCACTTGAGCCTTGGTGGTGGCAACGTTCTCGTGGTTTCCTCCCCGGGAGCCCCGGGGCTGCCCCGTTGTAGTTCGTTTTGGGACTTGGGGGTGTTGGTTGCTTCGGTTCCATCCACGCCCCCTTGTCTTTCCCCTGGTTCACCCTTCCTGCCTGCATCCGGTTCCTTACCGTCTGTAGGTTCAGGGCGGGGTGTTTGGTGGTGTTGAGACTCGGGCAGTCTCGGGGAATTCCCCTTCCGGGGTAGTGACGGGGGCATTTGGGCCTGTTCCTCCAGCCGTGTTGTATGAGTCTGCCAGTGGGCTCCCTTCCTTAGTGTTTTCACGGCTGCCCCGGTTTTCTGGTACGGCCGGGGCTTTGGGGGAACGGCTCGGCCCCGGGGCCTGTCGTGTAGGTTCCCGGGGCTGGGGAGGGGCTGACTTGGGGGGGCCTTGGCCCCGTTAGACCCCGTGGGGGTTTTTATCCCCCTCTAGGCGGGGCTTGTGGTTACGCGGAGTGGGGTCTTTCCTCCCCACTCGCCGTACGTGCTGTTGGACGTCGGCCCCTCCCCGGGCTCGGTTCCTTGGCCTTTGAGTCGGTTGGTTCCGTCCTGTGGGTGGATGTTTCCTCCCCCGCTTTTTGGGACGGTGTTTTTGTCATGTTTCCCCGTTCGATGGGGTTCTGCGTGACTTCTGATCTCGGGTGCGCCTGCGCCTTCGTGTGCCTTCGGGACTAGTGTTGGCTTCTGTGTTCTCGAGGGTACGGGAAGGTTTTTCGCTACTTCCCGCATTATTGGAACGTCTGTCGGCTCCTAGTACTTGTCGCCCTGTTGGGCTACTTGTCGCCCGGTTGGGCTACTTGTCGCCCGGTTGGGCTACTTGTCGCCCGGTTGGGCTACTTGTCGCCCGGTTGGGCTACTTGTTTTGGGCTTTGTCGCCCGGTTTTCCTTTTTGGGCTCTTTGCTTCTTTGGCCGGTTTTATTGTTCCTGCTTCCTCTTTTGGCTCCTTTTCTCGTGCAATAGTCCTGGCTGGCGCCTTCCCGCAGGGAGGGTGTGCGGTTCGGCCAGCGTGTTATGCGCATGCGCCGTGGAGTTTGTTTTGGTCTGGGCGGTGTTTCAGTGCTGGGGTTTTGCGCCCTTTTTTGCTACAGTGCTTCGCCTCTCGTTCTTCTCCCTGGCTGCGGTATGTGCCCCTTCGCGCCGGGGGTGTCCTGGTTCCCAGTTGTGGGGAGGACACCGCGGTTTTCCCTGTGTCATGGGTGTGGACCGCCTCCTTCGCCTCTCCCTGTTCTCCTGCGGGTCCGGCAGGGTCCGGCTCTGGCGTCTTCACCTGGCGGTGCTCCCAAGTTCTTCTGGGCACGGTTGAGTCGTGTCAAGTTCGTGCCACCATTCGCCAGGTGAGTTTCTGCGGTCTGGCGTCTTTTGGCCGGGCGCTGGATGCGGCGGTGTTTATATACCTGTCTTTATTTAGGTATATTTTTGTACGACTGAGACCGTTCGCACACCAGTGACTGTCCCTTTATCACCCCTTCCTGTCCCCCTCATGTGCATGTCCAACCCATGCTGGAGTCATTCAGGGGACCCTCCTTTTTTAATGTTGTGAGGTGTGGGGGTTGTAGGGTTGGTTCTGTACTCACCTGGTGAGGCTCCTGGCTGTGCTTGCAGGATTTGAGCTCTGGCTCTTGGGTCCCGCCTATCTGGTAGAACTTGCGGGATAGTACCAGTGGAGTGCAGTGGTGCTATTGGCACTTTTGGGGAACACTGTATTACCATCAGTGGTCTGTGCTTGTTACACGACCTACTTGCGAGCATAAGCCTTCTTGCTGGTTCGTCCGTGGACTTCCAGGGCGCACTGGCCTGTTTTCGTATGGCAGTTCCGGCCCGTCCTGGTTGTGGGGGTATGTGGGCCGGTGGACTGCTCCTAGCAGCTGCCTGGTGGGCCATCCTCTGGCCGGTCTGGCCTGACCTTGGGCCGGGCTTGAGGTGTAAAAGAGCTCCCAGTACCTCATCCAGCAGGTATCGAGCGGGGTTTCTCCGCCGTCGGTCGCCTGGTGCAGGTTTCTGGGCCTGCAGGGTTTTGTCGTGTCTCCGTTGGCCCTGTCTGGGGTCTGCCTGCTCCGTTCTCTGCCTTTGCAGAGGGGAGTTGCTATTTACATGTTGCATGTTGCAGTGGTGCCTGTTGCTGCTGCTGCACGTGTGCATTGGTACCGTGTTTCACGGTGGCGTGTCCTTGTTCCTGTGTCCGGTTGTGGAGTGGCACTTTGCTGCCGTTTTGTGCCTGGGGATTGCGTGGGGTTTTTGTCCCTGCCTGATTGTCCACCCCTGGTTGTTCTCCTGGGGTTTTTTTTTTTTTTTGTGCTTCTGCTCTTTCTTCCTGCCTCCTCTGCAGCAGGGATGTTCTGCGTGTGTTCTTAGGCGTTGGTCAGCCTGTGTCCTGTGATGTGCTTCTTTGTCTCGGTCTGTTGCAGTTGTTCGTGCCCCTTGGTTCGGGTCCTGTTCTGGCGGCGACCCTTCCGCCTTCTTTGGTTTTCCTAGCTTGCCCTGCCGGTTGTTTTTTTTTTTTTTTTTTTTTTTGGGGGGGGGTTCTTGCGATGTCTCGCGTCGGACCCGTCGTTTCTGAACTCCTGGCGGGCTTGCATGCTTCGGGGAGTTTTTCTGTTCGGCAGACGTTCCATCTCCTTGTGCCGCCTGGGTTTCGGTGGTCGCGCCCGAGATCTTCTCGCGGCTCCGCCTTTTTCCTGGGCTCGGGGGGGCCTTGTCGGGGCTGCTTATGTTCTGCCTCGTGGTCTCGCCTCCGGTTGGTGGTCGGGTGGCTTCGTGGTAGGTGTCCCACCTGCGTGCTTCTCTTGGCGGCAGTATGGGGTATTTTGGCGGTCCTTCCTTTTCCTGTCCCTTCTTAGGTGGTTCCTCTTGTTAGCTTGGTTTACTCTCGGCTTGGTTTTCTAGTGGGGGTTGGGGGCCGTCGTCTTGCCACATACTGTCGCCTCTTTTCGTGCGGCGCAGGCGGAGCCGCTTCAGCTTGCTTTCGGTCTTGGTGTTGCTTCTGCACCGTTAGTCAGCTGTCTTGTGCGTCATTTCACCTCCGGCCTGTTCGTGCGCCGCTTGCACCATCCTGGTCTCTGGTCAGCGTGCTCTGTCTTCTCCTCGGTTGGTAGTGCCCCTTCGGTTCCGGTGTGTTTTTTCGTCGGCTCTTTCCTTTGGGCCTTTGCCTCTGGGGGTCGGTTCGCTGAGTTTTCTTGCTCCTTCGGTTTTAGCGTTTTGGTTGTTTGATGGCAGCAGTCTCCATCTTTTCTGGCGCGGGGTGGGGCTGCTGCATTCTGGAGGGGTCCAGGGTTTGTTGGTGCTTCGTTGGTCGGGCCGGGGGTGTGTCGTTTTTGTGTTCAGTGGCGGCCCTCCGCTGTTGTTTGCGTGCCACGGCGTTTGGGTCCGGAGCGCGTTTTGCGTTGATCCGGTTCTGTTCTTCCCGGTTCGCGGGTGATGGTGTCCCGGGTGGTCAGCCGTGTTCTTGCGGCTAAGCTGCCTGTGTTCTTCCCTCATGCCTGTGGCGTTCGTGGCTTCGCTGCTCTCGCTGCCGTCTGGGCGACGTGGCCTTGCAGTCTTTCGGGCATGGATTTTTGGTGTTCGTGCAGGGGCCTTGCTGCTCGTGGTTCTCGTGTTGTTCCCGGGATTTTCGGGGCTGTGGCGCCTTGGGTTGGCGTTTGCTGCCGGTTGTCTCGCCTCCTTGGGGGGTGCGTGGTGTCCGCCTCCCGGTTTTGTCCCTTTGACCTTCCTCTGTGGGTAGTTAGCTCCGGGGAGCCGACGGGGCTCCCCCCAGAAAACCAGCGTTGAATGTAATGAAACGCCATTTTCTGGGTGAGACCCGGAGGCTCCCCGGCAACCCTCCCTCCCTCCGGTCGGCGTTTTTCGCGTGTTTTGACATCCAGCCTCAGAACTGATGGGTGGATAGCCGGCGTGGGAGGTCTGGGGCTCCCCCTTCCCCCTCCCGGGGAGGGGGGAGCTGCGCAGACAGCGGCGCGGTGACGTATGACGTCATACTAGTTTCCTTGTTTTCTGTTGAAGAGTTCTATCCACTAGTTCGGCTTAGGTAGCAATTTTCACCAGAATAGGGGTTTGTTTTGGAATGCTTACCTTTCTGGATGCTTGACCCGGTCGATGGCAGACATAGAATGCTTCCAACCACACGGGGGTTTCTATAGGCCATTGCTCCCCTTGCCTCTCTGAGGGGGCCAGGTTCTGGCTCGTGGTCCCCGGTAGGCCCTAGAACTCCATACACATGACTGATGCCAAAGTCTGACATTAGCATATCAGCCGGTAAAGCTCCGGGGAGCCTCCGGGTCTCACCCAGAAAATGGCGTTTCATTACATTCAACGCTGGTTTTTTTATACATGTTATATATAAGTACTGTATGTACATTTTTGTTCACCATAACGAATCACTAAGTTGGTATGCTGAGTCAAACAGCAGCAAGGAGTGGCCACCACACACCAGCCAGCCCGCCACTTGCCACCACTTCCTCCCTCACCTTACCTCACTCGCCAGCATTCTCATCTCACCATACTGTTTTTGCTTTTATTCACTACATACAGACGTTATATATAAGTACAGTATCTGCATGTTTTGTTCACCATAGCGAACCACTATGGTAAAGTAAGTGCAAACAGCAACAGGTGGCCACACACATTCGGCAACCAACGCTACAGTCTCCTCCCTCCCTCAACATTACTCCTCACACAGCAGAGTGCAGATTATCACAACAATCCTGCTATTATCAGAATCCTGGTCATTTATATAAGTCATAATATAAGTCATTTATATAGGTCTTCTGTAATACTATCATTGCTAAATAATAACAGTTACATATATTTTTTACATTTTTAGGCGATGCTGTGATCACAAGCTGAACAGCAGTGCTGTGAGCTCATGCTGCATGTGCCAGCCTTGGTGGCTCTCTCAGTACAGTACTGAAGCCCTCACACCCGGGAATGTTGCCCACGATTTTTTTTTTTAAATGGCCTCTGTTTACAAGAGCCCTGAGGAAGGTGATGTGAACCCCGTGTATCCGCAGGCCATTTAAATCTTGCGTAGTACTCCAAAACTTCATATGCAGTGATGTGCACCTTTGTGTCAGTTACTCAAAACTTCATATGCAGTTTTGCGCAGTTTAAAGGTTAATGTCGGGGGTTCTGGGCATGCCATTGCTCTGCTGTCCCATAAGTTCAATAGGAGTTGGATTCTAGGGTGGTTGAGTTGATGCCAACCCTATGGTGGGTGTCTCATCTGTTCCCACTCCCCAAACAGGTCTTATTGGACCTGTGAAATTTATGGTTCTTGAAAATTTATGTAACCTAATCTCTGGTTATCCAGATTGCTGTTTGGATATGGCGAAGTTTTGTCAGAAAATTATCCAGACTAGACTTTGACACTATGCCAGTCTACATTATCTGGCCAAATTGCCGGTTATCCAGATTTCTATCCAGATATGGTGAAATGTTGCCAGAAAATTATCCAGATGTGATTTTGGCCGGATAACCCAAATATTCGGTTTAGTGGGCTTCGGATAACGAAGCTCATACAGCGTTTTTCATTTTTTTCATTTACCGTTGTTGATCATTCTGAGCTCGGCTGAGTATTCTCTAGACTCCCAAGCACTAATGTCTCAGCAAGGATATTTTAAAATTCCCTGTATCTGGTAGGTCGAGAAGATCACCAGAACTTGAGTCAAGATGAACAACTCAGTGATTTGTCCCTGCTTGCTTGATTGGGCATGATTGTCCAAGGATATGGAGGTTCTTCTCTTGAGGTTGATGATTTTGAGGCTTAATGTCTCCTATGGCCCGGTCCTCGACCTGGCCTCCTTTTTGTTATCCCCCCCCCCTGGTAAGCAGCCCGTAGCAGGTGTCTAACTCCCAGGTACCTATTTACTGCTAGGTAACAGGGGCATCAGGGTGAAAGAAACATTTTGCCAACTTGTCTCCGCCTCCACCGAGAATCGAACTCATGACCTCAGGACTACGAATCCAAAACGCTGTCCACCCAGCTGTCAGGCGCCTACTTCTTACTTTAGAGAGCCACCAAATTATTCTGCTGAGAATTTTTTTTTTCATATTTATGTATAACGAATAAGTATTTTCTAAATAAAGATTGTTTAAAATAATAATTAGTTAAGTTAGATATAAAATTAAATTTTTCAGGTATTGCATATGGAAGTGGTCCACATGTCCTAGCATATACAGAGAGTGGAGAGTTGTATTCCTGGGGACATAATGGTTATTGTCAACTAGGAAATGGATCTACTAATCAAGGTCTTACACCATATTTGGTGACTACTCATTTGCACAATAAACGTGTGGCACGAATTGCTGCAGGCTCTCACCATTCATTGGCATTAACAGAAGAAGGCGAGGTAAGCTTATGTTAAACCATTGCTTTTGCGTTAGTATCTAACCCAATCGTTATTATGGCTTGTAAAATATGGGGGTCGGTAAGAATGTTATTACTGTGTAACGACGTTTTACAGTACACTACTTTCCAACCACTATTTAGGTATCCAGAGTAGGGATAAATTACTCTATAGTATTCATATACTTTTTGCTGTTGTTGCCCAAAATTTTGCAGGATGTGTCATCTGGAGAGTGTCTTTGCATATTGACTTGAAAATTTTGGAATTTTATTACATGTCATCAGATTCTCCCCGTAGTTTGTTTACCTGATTTACCCGAGAGCCACTAACTCTAGTGGCCTCAACAAGGACAGGAAGTCAACAGCATGTCGAAGGTCCCCTCATTTGCCTTGATTTTTTCCTGTTGTAAACGATTCCCAAAAATAATTTGCACTATTGCCAATTGTATTTCTTTTTAATTATACTGTATTGAGAATGTAAATTTTTAACATTGTAACAATAATAAATTGAAATTTGCAAATTTTGTTTATATTAATAATATCAATTTTAGCTTGTCATCAGTATTTCAGAATCTAACTTAAACAAAATTGCTTCAAAATAAATGGCTTGACTTTGTGTTAGGTAATTACACTTGCAAGATGAGAGCTGTGCTCATGGTGTCTCACCTTCCCAGTACAGTACAGTACTGTCATATGACACTTTGAACTGCTGATGGTTTTGACATCTATCACCTTTTCAATTAACTTGTTCCAACTGTCTTATCATTCTATTTACAAAAGAGAACTTTCTAATATTTTTCTGTAGGGGAGCCCCTTTAGCTCCCTGGAGCTATCAGGCTAATATGCACTACATTAGATCAGGGCATTAGTCATAGGAGGTTTAGCCTACCGGGGACCACGAGCCAGAACCTGACCCCCTCAGAGAGGTACAGGGAGCAATGGCCCTGGAACTTACCCCCCCCCCACCTGTGGTTGGGGTTTTTCCTTATCTGCCATCAACTGGGGCCAGGCACCCAGAAAGGTAGGCATAACAAAACAGACCCCACATGGTAAGAAAATTGTAACCGAAAACCGAACAGAGAGGCAGAACTCCCTCCAATCTCAAGGAAACGAGCAAACGTCACACTCAAACGCGTGTTGCTTGTCTGCACAGCCGCCCACCCTGCACCGGCGACCCAGTAATTGCAGTTCATCAGTTAATGCAATTCAGGGCGGTCTTTATCTCTGGCCCCGATTTCCTATGCAGTGTTTTACCTTTGTGGTGTCCTGCTGTTCGTGGTGTGATGGCCAGGTGTACCTGAAGTGTACCAAGGCTGTATGCACTTAGGGCAGCCTTCCTTAAGTGCCTTGTGAGTACTACTTTTGCATTTCAGGGTTCTCTTCCCTGGTGCATTTGGGATGCTTTTGAATAAAACCCCCAAAATGCCACTAGAACTTCCCCAATATTAAAAGAAAAAGAAAAACTTGGTGAAGCTAGTCCCCCCCTCTAGTTAACTCTACCTCCCCCCTCTCGTTGGGGAAGATGTCTGCTGAGTTCTTGGGGTTTACATCTCCGCGCTGTTAATGTTCAAGGTGTGTCCAACATCTTGGCTGACGTTCTGTCTCACTTCCTTCCTCTTTCCATAAAATGGACCATTGATTCTGCTTCTTTCCTTTGGCTTTGCCGGACGTTTGGGCGTCCAGACGTCGACCTCTTCGCATCTGCATAGTCTCGGTGTCTGCATCTTTACACTGCACCGTTCCCCAACTGCGAGGCCTTTGCGGTGGATGCCTTTTGGCTGGACTGGTCTAGATGGGGGTGCATTTACCTCTTTTTCCCGGTCCGGTTGTTGCTCCAGGCGCTGGCACATCTGGAGTCTTACAGGGGAGAGGGAGGGGGGGGGGAGGGGAAGAGTTTCAGCTGGCTCCTTGGTGGTCAGCCAAACCTTGGTTTCAGGCTCTGCTTGCTCGGTGTCTGAACCTGGGCCTCTTTCCAAGGCTCCACCTCTATCAGAAGGACGGGTGGATGATGTACCTTACTGGTTCGACCTTCTCTTCCGGTTTACGTGTCTGGTCTTCATGACGCGTCATTATCACCATTATCATTATCAGTGAGCTTGCATGGTGATCTGGTGCTTGGTTTGATGGTGTCCCACCTGCGGTCTTCTCAGCTGCGGTATGAGGTTTCTTGGCGGTCATTTCATCATTTTCTCTCCCTTCATTGTCTTCTATGTTTCAAACTGGATTGTTGTCCTTTCTTTCTTGGCTTTTCCTTGATAGGCATCTAATGCCTAATACTGTTGCTTCTTATCATGTGGCGTTGGCAGAGCCACGTTTGCCTTCTGGGTGGACATAACTTCAGTTATGTTTCACAAGTTTTTTCATGCTTTGTTTCACCTCCAGCCTGCTCATGGAGGCTGGAGACTGCCTGGTCTTTGGATCGGATTCTTTCTTTACCTTGGTTTACAGTGGCCCCTTTGATCTGGGATTGTTTTTGAAAGGCTTTGTTTTTTTATTTCCTTGGCCTCTGGTTGTAGAGTGGGTGAGCTTCATGCTCTATTCCAGCACTGGAGATTTTGGTCCTGGGGGTCATTTTGTATGTTTGCAACCTACTTCTTTTCAGGCGAAAAATGAGACGGAAGGCTTCCGGAAGGGTCCCTTGGCTCTTGAAGCTTGGTTGGTTTGGTTGGGGAGTGCATCATGCACTTTGTCCGGTAGTGGCCTTACGCCGCTCCTTTAAGCCACCAGTTCTGTTCCAGTGGATTCATTGTGGGTTGATATGGTTTCTCTCGTTCCCTGTTCCAGAGCTCGTGTTTCCCAGGTTGTCCGCATTGTTAATAAAATTAGCCAGCCTGCTGTCTACCCTCGGAGCTCATGCTGCTCGCAAGTACAGTGGCACCTCGACTTACAATTGCCCCTACTTACAATAATTTCGAGTTACGATGTAAATTTCATCGAAAAATGCGATTCAACATCCGATGGTGTCGTCGACCTCCGATATTTGTTGGTACACGTTCGGGTCAACTGAGCGCGTGGTTTCCGGTCACGCGGTCCAACCTGCCTCAGTTTACTACAGCTGCCCGCTTAGTGACGATCGCCCCTATAAGAAATTCCGCGTTTGTGGTGACTTTTTGCATTTTGAACATTAAAGTAATTACTGTATTATATATCACACCATGGGTCCCAGGTGTTGGATATTTCCAACACCGAATACAACACTGTTGTATTCTCATTACTTATTACTAACTATACTAATTATTGTAGTAAGTAAAATTAACAACACGTAGAATTCTCATGTACTAATAATTCATCTGTGCAGTAGGCTAGAATTCTCACGTCACCTGACGCCAGTATTGCGTCAGATTTCCTTACAGTAAACACATTATATCCAATGTATGTGAGAATTAAATTCGATTCTCTATAACTAAGGCATTCTGTATGATAACTAATTGCAGATGGATTGACCTCCAACTAAAAGCCGAATAGAGCGTTAGAGTCATAGCGTTTATCTCGTAATAAAGCTAACGTCACCAGTGAATGCCATGGGGAGACATTAATTCCTCTCCCTTATATATTTACTATTCTTAAATTGGTAAATAATAATAATTTCCTCCTCTAAATAATAAACCCGTCCAGTCTTCAACGTTTCAAGCGTAAATGCGAGAAATATTAATGTTCGTGACATAATTTGTTTTATGAACGCGCGACACGGCGTGGGTGAGGAGGACCAACTCAGTACACGTGCGGAGCCGTTCAGAGGCAGACCTGCGCATACCGTACTCACAAGGAGACGCCATTGCCCAGCCACTAGGGCAGACATTATCCATCCTCAGAGGAAAGTCGCCACTGTGAGGCGTGAATAACCTTGCAGATAATATCTTCAGCTAGTGCTGGTGTCAAATAAGGAGCCTTTTAACCTGGTTCTTGACGACACGTGACCAGCCAGCGAAGCGCGCCACTATCCAGGATAGGCCTAGCCGGAGCCTGGGGACGCGAAGCACGGCAATCTTAAAACTTATACAGTGCCCCACAGCTAAGTATATTCCTTTATGTGATGCATCGGGTAAAGAGTTTAGTAGTAGCTGGGTGATTGACCGTTATGACGCACGATAACATCTAATAACAGGTGATTAAATTTTGTCACCTGTAACTCTCAATTTCTTGAATATATAGATTCAGTAGTTAAATTAGTTGCTACTGTAAATATTTGTCTTGCAGCACGAGAGAAGAATTCTCCATGCCGCCTTCTCCCATGTTAATCCGTCTCATTCGTCAGCCGACCGAGTCCAGAGAATAAGAGGAACTTCCACGGCTTGTATAAAGGAATCGTCATTAAGCTAAGACTTTATTTTCTTTCATGATTCTATTGCAATTTCTTATGTGCAGAATTCCTCAGGGTTAATATGTGGTTTACTGTAACTCTCATTACTATGCTCATAATCTATGTTCCCATTTATGGTAATGATATCAGTTTCAATATAATTTTTATAGGATTAGATTATTATTAATTGAATTAGTGAACGAACCACACTAATTCCTGGACGTACTTACCTCCAGTAATAACCCCCCAATGTAGGTGCTTGAGGGTTTGATTCATTTAATTATACAGCCCATTAATTATTTCTATGATCATATTTTCTAGTATTTTATCCATAGTTACTGGTTTCATCTAGGAATTATCTAATGATCAGAAATTCTCAGTTTCCCTCTTTACTATAAAAGCGGGTGGTCCTTCGTAATTTAATTTACTACATTAATATTAAATAATCAGATTCAAGCCCCAAATATCCCACAGTATGGTCCTTATCGAACCGGATAGGCATTAAATTTATAATTAAAATATTAATCATTAATAACTAATCCTTGTGTGATAGAAGCTAGACTAACTATTTAATTAATTGTGTCAACTAACAGTGTAACACATCAGTTAGCCTAGATCACACTAACATATTGCTACTTTCACCTCATGTATAAGGTAGCTTTAGTGGGTCATAGCCAATTACCCACAACACTTAGACCTACACT